AAGTACCAACACCACAGTGTTTTTGCTCTTCAAAATGGTCCTATCACAATTTCAAATGCTTGGAAGAATAATCTATGCAAATACTATAAGAACTATCCTTGATCATTAGGCAGTCTGTGTTTTTCACATTTAATATTTGCTTCAAAATAATCTCCCTGACTAATGTTGTTATGGAAAGTCCTGACTACTCAAGCTCTGACTGAGAACACACACACACACACACACAGCCATGTTAATATTTCCTCTGTTCTGCTCTGGTCTCATATATTTCAATGTCGTCAGAATGCTGATTGGACAGGATGAACAGTCAGAGAGGGTGAAAGGAACACACCGGCTAGCAATTTGTCACCTTCTCAACACCTTGTTTTATTAGTTGAAAGAGATTATGTGGAGACAGAGTCAGGGTTTCACTGTACTCCATAAATGCAGAAAGATAGTCAGATGAAAGTGGAAACAAAGTAGAGAAATTCTGTGCAACTTTCTTGTGAAAATTGAAACCACTGTCTCATTAACTCTGGAAAAGTTGAACAGTTGCTACTGCTGGGAAATAAGTTTAATTCCTCTAGAGTTGCAGTAAGGAGGGGAAAAAAGGAAAAATGAGAGCCGACACTAGGGGAAATGTGAGACAGAGAAAGAGCAGAAGGTCTGTCTCTGTTGCCTTGTCAAAGCTAAAATCTGTCAAGTTAGACTTTTTGCCCATTGTGAAACCTACAGACAGGAGCAACAACACTGAGAAAGAAGTAAGAAAAGAAAGTATGGAAGGAAGAGCAAAAGAAATAAAGTTTATATTTACACTGACATTTTTGCATGCAACTATGACCTCTCTTTGCTGAAGTTTAAATAATAAAACAGTGAACAAAATGGTGTTTTAAAGTACTGTACAAGGTCAAAAGGTTAGTACTAATACAAATAATTTGTGGATGTATAACAAGTTGCATACCAAGAACTGCCTGAGTGATACTGTAAGGCAGGAAATGAATTATCTCTAAGACATTTCCCAGTGTCTCTCCTTCTCATATAAACACACTCATTCACTTCAAGAGTTGTACTACTTGTATATATTCACAGACATACACACACTTCATTCACACTTTTAGTTTGATTCAAGAGTAAATTCACTTTTAATTAAAAAAATGATTTGCCTCAAAGGCAGTCTGATGAATTTCAAAACGGATGATTCAAACCTCCTTTGCTTTCCTCCTTTCTTATCACTTGTGTTTACGTGTTACTTATGTGTGTCTGTGTTCAGGCTATAGACCCAGATCTGGGGGCCAACGGTCAGGTCCATTATCGTCTCGTCAACCACCAGAAGTCATTTTCCATCAATGCCACTGGTGCGATCAGAACTGCGGTGCCACTGGACAGAGAGGTCAGAGGAAGTGATAAATTCAGATTTCATATGAATGTCATGCAGTCGAACGCAATATAAAAAAGACAGAAATAAATAGAGGCTGTGATGACAGTATAAATATTTTTTCTTACCTGTGGTGTTGATGTTTGACCGTGATTCTGTCATCTCAAAGGTGAAAGGCCACTACTTTCTGATCATTGAAGCCTGGGATGGCGCAGTGGACCCTCGGCGATCCAGATTAACACTGTCTGTTACTGTTCTGGATGTAGACGACAACAGCCCGATATTCACCCAACAGACTTACAATGTCAGCCTACCAGAGAACAGCCCCAAAGATACAGTCATTTTACAGTTAAAGGTGAGCAAGTTAATTTGATTTATTCGATTAATTCATTGCAACTAATTTAGTGTTACACTGTACAGGATAAGCTTTTGTATAAATTGTGAGTTTCCAGTTTCTAAATTGGCCCTTTTTGCAAACAAGAAATTACTCAAGACTAGAGTCTGACAAAGAAATTTCCCAGACTGATGTATTGGCTAGTTTTAGGTTGGTGCAGTTACATCTGTATCAGCCATTAAGTAAAAAAAAAAAAAAAAAACTGTACAGAAATGGCAATGGTTTTAAACATTCTGCATTATAGAATTTGACTTCAGCTGAGAAAGTTACATCTCAGTACAAATGTTGGTCACAATTCTTTCAAAAAATCATTATAGAAATGCTCATATGCTTAATATATACTATTGTTAAAAAGTTTGGAATCCCTTGTATTGTTTTTTTTCTTTCTTTTATTCATGGCCAACATATAAAAAAGCTATAAATCAGACACCAAATGTATAGCTAACATCTGAAATATTTTTCGGCCCCAAAAAAGATTACATTTTGTAAATGTCCTCACAGTGTTGCCTGACAGGGAAAAATACTGTTGTAACCAACTTTTCCTCCAAAATACCCTTCAATTTTGACATTGTTTTCCAGTCTAGAAAGACTTAAGTGACCTTTGATCATTATTAAACCAAACCAGTGCAACTGGGCTATAATTATTTTAGTAGTTCTTAGTTTGTTCAACTGACCTTCTTTGATGCCATTCCAAGTGTTTACCCGAGACTGACCTTATATTTTGTTATGTGTGTCATTGTGGAACCTGTTCCTATTTATATCCGCACAGAGCTAAGCTTAATTTCTTACTAATAACTGGTGATTTCTTATATTGTGATTGTTGTGCAGAGGTATCTTTGTCTCTTTCTGCCCTTTTATTTGTCAGTCTGGTTGAACCATTGATTGTACAGTGTTTATATTTTCATATTACACATATATATGTATATATATATATATTTATGTAATAACCAGGACAAAATTTATTCATTTATAATATTATACACAACAGGTTGCAATGTTATGAGTTCGAAATATTTATGACATTAACCACAGGTTATTACATTGAGTTATTGACTGGTTAAAGGCAGAGCGAGTGTCCTGGCAAAGAAAATAGTAACAAATGTCACGACAAACCATCAATAAACCAATCTAATCTAATCTACTGTATTGTCACAATGCTGCTACGATAATGATAATGATGAACACTCACTACTGAATCAAAGTGTCCAACCAACTATAAATGTGTTCCACAATTGCTTGAAACTCTTAAGTACAACATGAGATTAATGTTCTGAGTTATTACTGGACTTTCAACCAGTTTGGATCAAGCTGCCTGCAGGTCTAAACTGAGCACTTGGATTCCGTTCAATAAAACTACTCCTAAATTCAGTTTCTGAGTCCAGTCAATAAGACTTCATCATCATAGTCATACTTGAAGTTATTTACCTACATCTTCTTTGAAATTACCAAATTGCTTTCATTTTACATTCCAGACAGCACTGGAGACGTCTTAAAAAGTCAGAATTTTAATTTGACAACACTTGAAGACATACTGAGTTGTAGAGGACTGTAAAAAAGATAAAAGCAGCTTTTCCATTCAGCTACACAGTAAAATAGTTACAGAAGGAAAAATAAGATACGGACCACCAGCTAGGCTATAAATTTTCACCACAGGCGTTTCTCACATACAAGCTCAACACAGACCTAATGAAAATACTGCAGTCTGCTACTAGTTTCAGCACACTGAGATGCTTGTCCTTCTAGCAAATATAAAAAATTCAACTTGCCATAAAATTCACACGGCAATGATATTACTTTCTTTCCCATCCTCCGACTCTCTTTCTCTGTAGGCGATAGACGCTGACCTGGGCTCCAACCTCACATATCGAATCAGAACTGAAGGCTTGGACCAGGAAATCCCTCAGCTATTCCACATCGACCCAGTGACCGGAGAGCTGTCTGTTCTCAAAGTTCTGGACTACGAGGCTCTGACTGACTCCGAACCAACATACACATTCACTGTAGAGGCCGTGGACACCAAGGGAACCATGCCTCCTGGACTAACCTCTGTTACTGTTAGAATCACGGTGGGTGTGTGTGGTTGGTTTGTCTAACCAAGCATAAGAACAGAGGGATGAGGGAGGTCAATGTGTGTCTCGTTTTTTGTTCACTGTCTTCAGTTTAAGGAAAGAGTACTGTATTGAGAATGTTGTGTGCAGGCAATGCAGGACTGACCCGCTATTTGAAAAATGACTGTGGAGATGAAAATTATTATTGTAGTCTTTGGAATCCCTCTTTTGTATGTCCTTTGCCTCCAAGATTACTGATGCAAACAAAAACAAAATGCTGCTTTGTTTTTCCCTCTGTCTGCTGCTGCTATGTTACATAGACTCCCTGTTCACTGTTTCTGATCCATGTGTATCCGGTGTACTAAAATTCTGGGGCCATACCAGTGTCTTTGCATGCATTAGCACATTTACTACACTTTGGTAGATGGTATATTCATGTCCTGTCAGGATGCTCTGACATCAAAGACTAAAGAGGTATAATTATAGCAATTAGCCTCTGAATTCTGTCCACACCAACACCATATTTGTTTACTTGTTTTTCTTCTGCATCTCAATTTGACAAGTGTGAAGCAAGTTTTATAATCCACCATTTAGTCAGCCTGTGGGAAGATCAAAACATCCTCTGTGGTGTCTTGGGTTGGGCGAAATGTTAAATTTTTCAGTCAGTCCAACAATCAGCGATTGCCGATATATTCCTGCATGCGACCTGGTGCTTCTGCGAATTACCTTGTACCTGTATTCCATCGTCAAACTAGTCAAAATAAACCCTTAATTCACCAAAGTTATATGTAAAAATACACTGTTTCTACAGCTGTTTTCCCTCTCACTCGTTCTTCGGCTCAGTTTATATACTGCCCCGCTGAGCAGGCCATTAAATTATCAAAATGAAAATGATAAAAACCGAAAAAGCCAAAAACAAATCAACCAACAATGGACCCAATCGCCAACCGATATATTTCGCTCAATCCTAGTGGTGTCCTCACTTTAAACTCACTGCTGTTTTCTAGCACTGCTGACACCTGCTGTGATATCCAAAATAAAACAGAACTACAGTATTTGTTCGAATTAGCATTAAGGTATGGGCTGAATTAGCTACTGTAAACAGATGTTGCATTTTGTGGCTTATGGTGGCCACATGTTCCCAAACCTATGTAGAGTGAATCCACTCTGGTTAAGAATTTTTGGGACTGCAGAAAGAAAGTAAAAAATTAAGTTACATTTAATAGTGCGATTGAAAGCAAACAGCATCATGCCTACAAAGTCAGTTTGCACAAAGTACAATTTTAGGCACTTACTGGAAAACAAAAACAGTTTGGTGTACTGTACAGTCCTGTTTACAATGCTAATGCCATACCACTGAATATGTCTGTGTTTATCTCTCTCCAGGACATGAATGACTTTTCTCCAGTATTCAGCCAGTCAGTGTACCGAGGCATGGTTGCCCCTAATGCTGTCAAGGGAACAATCGTAACCACAGTGATGGCCAATGACTCTGACCCTGCGGTGAGCATTTCCAGCTGCTGCTATTCAATCAAACTGTTTTTCGTCTGTTCCCCAAATTGTGTATGGGAATGATGCAAGATAATGATGCTTGTCTCCAGTGTGTGTGTGTGTGTTTGTTTTGAATGTGTTTGCACTTTGTTCCCCAGTAGAGACGTTTTATTTTTTTTACCCCAGTGTAGCACTTAGTGATACCTCAACTGGGCGTTTAACTCTAAATATCTTTGTAATATAGGCTGATTTATTTTGCTTGCTGTAAAATGAAGTTTAGCTCACTTAAGAATTTCATTGTGAGCCATTAGGTAGTCTAGTGCAGTTAACCCCAGCTTTTAAAGGTTGTAAAATGCTCATACTGGGGTTTAAGTGTGGTGTGAATATAGCTTATGTGGATTTGCTGAGTCACACAGCCTTTTGTTTAGATGCAGTTCTGAAACACAGTGGCTGTGTGAAAAATAGCCCTCATCTTTATCGGAAACAGAAAACAACCAACTGGTAAATTTGAAATTTACTATGTAGAAAATCAGCAAATAAATATTTATGAAAAAGACCAGAAATAAAAGTATCTTTATTTTGCATTACTGCTCAAAAATCCATGATCTTATTTTTCACTGGGCCATCTCTGTATGAAATCTTTTACATAGGCAATGTTGCCCCATAAGCCTCTTTAGAAGCCCCATGTTCTTGTGTGCTTGCTGTCTTGCTATATCAGCTGAACTGAATCAGTCTTGAGTCTAGCTGGACTTTCTTGGGTCAAAAAGAAACATTATATTGTCCAAGCAGTATGCATTAGAGGCAAGCTACTAAGTTGCACCTTAACATCCCTTGAGATTTATATATATATACATGTAAAATTCCAAAATGTAGCTCTGAACTAAAAGTCTTTGTGAGAATTTGTCACTGTGAAGTTTTGCTGACA